AGCTCGCATCAGAACTGGAGAAGATTTTGTGTCTGAACCTTCAAATGGCTGAGCAGAAGGCAGTGCTGGGGGAGCAGTGTGTGCTTTGACAGAGGACTGAAGCTATGCTGAACTGAAGCTGAGCAGCAGAAGGCTTGGTTGTATCAGCTTCTCCTAGGTGACATTGTTTGCTTTCTCTGGGTGAATGTTTTTAAAGGCATCTGTTGAAATGTCTTGCAAAATTCACACAACATATGTGCAGACTCATATGCAAATATGGAGCACATCCCTTTTGCCACTTGAGCTTTGTTCAAAACTTTGCCATAAATTCACTTTTTTTGGTCTTGGGTATCATCTGCTCCTGTCCTTGTACGTGAAAGGTTCTGTGCCTCATGTAAACACACTTTGAAACAGAAATTGTCTTCCAAGAACAGGGGCAGAGCAAGACAATTCACAAAGCCCTCAGATCTAATCTCCACAACACAAGTTTCCAGCTTTAGAAATCCTGAAACTGCTTCTGAGCCCTGTGCTTGCAGAAAGTTTGCAAAGCACTGACAGTGAAATAAGGGTTTCCCTCAACTTAGAGTGACTTCCTTTCCTTCATAGATTACAAAGCAGTCAAGTGTATGCATAAAGCAGAGAAGTGAACCCATATGTCCACTCAGAGTCTGGGTGTAATTACAGTCTCTGATGCATAGAGCAGGATGTAGCAGGTAACGTGTTCCTCTGGCAGCCCATCAGTGTAGGCAGTGCTCCTGGTTCCTCAGGTGCAGGGCTCTCTGCTACATGATCCAGCACTTTCTCAAGTTTTTATGCAAGAGTCTCACCTGAATGGAGCAGGGGAGCCTTTCTGAATCTGGCCCATGAGTCTCCTGGCTTTCATGGAGCTTCAAGAGGGTTTGGACTGACTGAAAAATTCTGGCTCCTGAAGCAGGAGAAATGCACAGTCCTTGTTTGGTAGGTGTCCGAGAAGAGAGATTAGATTTGCAAAGGAAGAGTCTTTCTCCACAGAGATGCCTGCTCCTTTCCTGAGCTTATGTCAACGTTGTGCAGCCTAGTGAGTGTTTGGCAGTGATGTGCCATGCTGCCCTCCAGGAGCTGGGGCAACATGGCACTCCGGTCAGCACTGGGAAGGCCCTGATGCTCGGTACGGGAGGATTTGCAGCTCAGCATCTGCAGCGTTGAGCCCTCTCCTGCTGAATTAATCAGAGAGACACTGGCAGAATTTTAAGATGTTGCGTTGGCTGTAAAAAGGTGTGGTTGCTTCGAGGCTGTAGCAAAGATAATTTAGAAACAAAGAGAAATGACACTACTGGATTATGTTCCCACCTCTCTTGTACATGCTATGCATTGGGTGGGCTTCATTTCCTCCATGTTCCTCTGTAAATAACTTTGCAAATGGTGCCCAGAACACATGTTGTATCAGAGAAGCATAAAATAGCATGTGACTGCAGGATGGTGGTGAGGAAAATATGGAGTAATACTGACTTTCAAAGGTAATCCCAGTAACCGTGAGCTATTGTCCACTGTCCAGTGGTCATCTCCCATTGCCCAGAATGGAGAGCTGGACTGGAATGAGTGGGAATGCTGGAGAACGAAACAGAGTACAACCTCAGCTGCATTGCAGGGAATGAGGAGACCTTTTCATTTACATCCTGTTAATTATGTCCTGCATCCTCCATAGGAGGCAACAAACACCACAAAAAGGAGAGAGACCAGAGCAAAGCATGACTCAGGTATATTGCAGGAGTGAAGAAGTACTAAGAGACTTCTGCTGAACTGATCCCAGAATATAAATTGCACAAGATATTTATCCTTACTAGAGTCTCTCAGTTCTATGATTTTGCCCTCAAACTACATTATGCAAAAGACATCTGAAATTATCTTTGGTCATTTCAGTTTATCCCTTATTTTGCTGAATGATGGGTAGTGGATTTCAAGGTGACTTCTCATTTGCCAAAATCATTACGGTTTGTTCCTGACTGACTGGATGGAAAAAGCAGTAAGAAGATGTACTGATTTTGAACAAGCCCATCACATAAATGCATGGCACTTAATTTCACACACCTCATGCAAGCAGTCAATTACTGCTCCTGCTTTGGCACTGAACACAAATTCCATACATATGACTGGCTTATTTCAGCATGTCCAAACCTCCATGCAAAATGGGAATTAGATACAGGTTCTGGCTGAGAAATTTGCTAAGAGATTTTACCCCAGGGTCCTTGCCACACAAGCACAAATAGGAGTGGGGACATAGTTTCAATGCTGATACAGTCTCTCTTTAACGGATAATATCTAATCAATTTTTTCCAGTGCCCTGATGAATATGATGCACTTCCTAATCCTGCAGTCACTCTATTAGACAAGGATTGAAGTCATCAACAAGAAAATAACGTTCTCAGAGAGATGACATGTTAGCTATATGCTCACTTGGGGCTATGTTCTTTTTGCCAGACAATAACCCTATTCCAGGAGTGCAGAGACATACATGAGCAATAGGAAAGAAAAGTTTATTAACCAAGGTGGTTCTTGCGTTGTTAGGAGGAAATTTTCACCATTGCTAAATTCTGTAAGAAAGTGCCTCATAATTTTCCAGAACTGGGAACAAAATTATGCTGTAGCAGAAAGATGGGCCGTTACTTTTCTGTGAGGTGGCTGACACTGGCTGTCAGTCATTGAGCTGAGGACAGCATACAGGTGCCTGCTGAAAGGTGAGAAGTCCCTGTTCCTGACAGAGCAGCTTCCTTCCCCCTCACCTTGCTGTGCTGGCAGTGGTGGGGGATCGCATAAGATGCTGGTGCAAGATGTGCTCAAGGAGAGGGGAAGCTGTCCCTCCATTCACAATCATACCCTGGACATAGCTGGGAAAGAGTGCACCGTTGTGGTTTGTTCTGCAGGAAGCTTCGTTGTGAGGAAGCTCCTAGAGCAGCAGAGTGCATGGAATCAGTGACAACAGGGACAGGAGTGAGCAAGTGTTGGGGTTTGTTGACATGGTAGTTGTAACTCAACTGTAAGTATGGGTGTTAGAGCTCTGATAGGTCTCACATCACTCCTTTCAGCACTTTGTGGGTGTCTTAGATACCCTGGTATATTCCAAATGGTTCAGGTACCTCTTGAATTGAGCACAGGAGGTGTAACTCTGCTGAGAGTTTCAGAGGAATGCTCTGACCATGCTGGCTTTGGGAAATCATGAGCAGGTTTGTGCCAGAAGACAAGACTGCCTCAGCCTGCCTTTGATCGAGAAGCATGGGTGCAACATGAAGGATGGGTGACGGTGACAGAAGGTATAAAATATCTAGGGGAATTCACAGTGGGAGAAAAGTTGTGGGGAGCAGCTCTGCATTCCCATGAGCAGACATGCGTGGGAAATGCTGGGTCAAGCCTAGGCACAGAGAGCACCAAGGACGCGGTGAAAGGTGAGCATTCAGAGAGGAGGACGATGCTCTGCTGTCTAATGCAAACAGGACTCCACATGGGAGAAGGCAGCAGGGGAGGAGATGGCCTGTCTCCTGCAAATATTTTTTTGCAAGAAACAGTTTAATTTGTGACTCGGATGTAGAAAAATGCATGCTGAAATATCTGCACTCTACTTGGGTGGAGTTTGTTTTAAATATTTCTGGAAGATGGGAGAAGTTAGCAAATGTTTGGACACTGCACAAAGCCAATACACTAGTCAGGGTAAAGTTCTCCTGCAGCTCTATTTCTTTTGGGCAGAATCTGTGCTTTAATCTCACTAGTCCATGCCTCAGAGGAGGTAAGAGGGGTCTTGAGGTACATGAGTGCAATATGAAGCACATGTTGCCTTGCTCCTACTGAGCAGACTTTAGAGGGGTGTACAACAGGAATGTATGAACCCAAGATTTGGGCATTCTGACACTCCTCAGCCGTATCAGACAATTTAGTTTTCTGATTACATTTTCAGACCATACTTGCAGTGGCCACCTCCTTGGCCTTTTGACTCAGCTAATGCAATCCCATTACTGCTGCAAACTCCCACAGAGCCCACTGTAGTCTGTTCTAGCTTTCCTTCTAATAATTGAAACTCCTGCTATTTTTAATACTCCTGTATCTGACTATTTTAATATCTGAACCAAGAGTTACAAATGCAATTCAATAGGTACCTGTCCCTTGGCTGAGCTGATTAAAGACCATTTTCCATACATCTTGCTGCAAAGGACCTTGATTTCAAAACTGCAGATTGTCTGGACTTGAATGTTAACATCCAGGCTCAGCACTAATCTTTATTGACAGCACTCAGCGTTAGCATCCTGACCACGGGCATTTTGACACTGGCTGGGAACTTCCTCAGTGACCAGCAAAATGAAAACAAGTAGAGGTGCATACTCCACACCTCAGGGATGGTACCTCCAGTCCTGCCTCAGGAACCTCTCCAAACCTTGTGCACCGTACAGGTCCAGTTCACACTTTCTTGTGTGCAGGGGAAGCATGGACATCTCTAGAGCCCACCAGAATCCCATGGGCCATGGACCAGATTTGCTCAGAAGCCTTCAGGTTCAGAGCATCAATGAGAAATCCAGCACAATGAGAGGGCAATTCGATTATCAGTCTGTTAAAATAACACCATAAACTCATTCCCATGTCTCTGAGGGTGGGGGAAGCACAGCTTGCTGGGCTAAAGGTAGGCATTGCTCATGCCATCTTGCAGTGGGGTCGGTCCACAGCACTGTGACACAACCCTCCACAGTAAGGGAGGTGACTAACAGCCCACCAGATCCACTGTCCTGCTGTGAGGAGAGCTGGTTGGTCCAGGCACTTTCAAGGCAGCAGTTTGCTTTTCTCTATAATCACTGTGGACAAGGAATGCCACAGGATCCATTTTTCACCAATCTGCCTGTGCCAGTTTGAATTATGTCCAAGAGCCTGTGATGGAGGCTGGCTCAGATACAGCTCTTCTCCCTGCCGGAGTTTGTTGGAATGGCTTGCCTCTCCCAACTTCGTTTGGTGCACACTGTAGACATATCTTTCTCTGTTGTCTTTTTTTTTTTTTTTTTTTGCAGACAAGCCACGAATGAACAACATTCTCACTTCTGCCACCGAACCCTATGATCTGTCCTTCTCACGGTCCTTCCAGAACCTCTCTCACCTGCCACCATCATATGAGTCTGCTGTAAAGACAAACCCAAGTAAATATTCTTCTCTGAAGAAACTAAGTAGGTGTCAGCTCATTTCATTTCCTTTGTATCTCATTTGCTCGTAAGCTCCAGTGGGCACATTGTTAAGACAACAACCTTCTTCCCTCTGTCATTGTGCTGCCCAAGTTGACATCTCCGGTAATGATTCTTTTGGCTGTCACTTCCCATCAAGGAAGATCATAGAGAAAGATTCACTTCATTACTGTGAGAGCACATGTGGTTATTTGGTTAGTGACCTCCTTGCTGTGCTATGTCCCACTGCTCCACCTCGTATTTGCTCCTGATAGAGTCATCTGAGAATCCTTTTTCATTCTGCCAGAATCGAGATGAACCAAGCTGGCTGCCTCAGATCAGCTGAGCTCACCTCAGTGTACCCAGGGCAGATACCTCACCATCCAGGGGGGCAGCTGGAACCAGATGACAAATCCAGGCCAACAGAAAGCTGCTGAAATGGTTGGGAGCATCTATTTCAGTAGGACCACATCTGCCTGCCTCGAGCAGTGCTGCAATCTGCCATGTGCCATGATGTATGTGTCCAGATCTGGTCCCGACCTGTGCCATGATGATCTGTGGCGTGTCTCTGATAGTTCAGCATCTTGCTCACTTCCCTGTTCACACTAGTTAGTATCTGTTCTTTATTGCTGTTTTATGTATTGTATTGTTGTGCCAACTTTCCTGTAATGCTTCAGCCCATTACCTTTGCTGATGGCAAACTCTTCAGCTTTGGTGAAATTATGAAATAAGCGATATTTGTGCAAGCAAATGCTCTTTTCAGACTGACATCAGGTTTATAATATGTATGTTTCAATGAACATTTTCTGGATGCAGCCATGTATTCACACTGCCTAATTTAGAGAATTTAAGTGTTTATACTAACAGTAACTTCACTGAAGGTAGGTGAGGATGAGGAGCTGTTCTTACTTCTTTAGTCTATATAAGATCTGCATTCCCAACTCAGCCAGCTGAGACACACTAAAGGAAGCGTCATGGAAGCCCTTGGACTGTCCATAAGAAATCCCTACGGAAGATTTTTCAGAAGATAAAACAGAATGGAAATGTAGCACATAAAAGTCTCAGCCCACTCCTTGGCACTTCAACATGGGACTTACATACATGTTTAACATCTGATGTGCTTAGAAGTAGGCATATGCTTAACCATGTTGGAGAACAGGGATGAGATATTTTGTGATGGGAGCCTGCCACCTTCCCTGTCCAGTATGCCATGTGTATAACCTTGCTTCTGCCATGAGCTTTGTTCCCTGGTAACATTAGGGCCTCATACTGCCAACCATAAGCATTTTCTCCTCACTTCATCCCAGTGACGAACTTGAGCAGCTTTAACAGTACTATCTGCTATTGGAAAACCCTTGAAATCGCAGCATTGTAAAATTACTGATTTAAAATGCTCCCATTTTGAGGTGATGGGGTTCTTTTAATTTCTCAGCAGAAATGAAGATTTCTCAGAACAAAAAAAAAAATTACCCTCTGGATAGCCCCAAAACCTGCAGTTTCATTTGTAATTGATTTGGAATTTTCTGGGAGATATCATTCCCATTCAGAATCTGGAAGATCTCTGTCTTGGAAACATTGAGAACTGGTGAGACAAGTGCTCTCTAGGAACAGCAACAGTGGCTGCTCCATGCAGGGGATGGTCAGGACATCTTCCAGCCTGTGATTCATTTATTGCTTTACATATTGTGCATAGATGCTCAGTGAAATCTCCTTGAGCTCCATATTAAAGTTACTGATGCATCTTACTGAAACATTAAAAGCCCACAAATGAATGCTAACTGAAACTCGTGGGCCTTCCACAGCAAGCATCTGGAAATATATGTCAGATTTGATCACTATCCTCTACCTACTTCTACAATGCTCACCTGACTCACACTGAGTATAAATTCACTCACACCAAGCACTGCCATTCATGCACTGAGCAACACCTTACTAAGTGGTGTCTTAGCAGTCTGACCAGAACCGTGCAGAAGATTTTGCTCAGCAGTTGAAGAAATCACAGGGCCCTACCTGTCCAACCTGCCCCTCAGTAGATCACAACAGAAGGGAATAAACATTGAACTCCAGCACTGCATTTCCTAGATATTTGTCTAAAATGACAAAAATAGGCTTGTGTTAAGGTGCCAAGATTAGATGTCCTCAAGGATGTGCTCAGCATATTCAGCGTCCCTCTCTTGAGTCTTTCCTGACCCTCTGGACACTTAGCATTCCTGCCCCCATTCAGAGGATGCCTGACAGTTGACATGGATTTAAGAACATTAGAGTTAATCTTTGGCTAGAGCAGGGTTCATTCACCCCTTAACTTTTCAGCAACATCAACCCTTGAAGGGAATCCCTGCACACTGCAATGGAAATACTACCTATTTACTCATCAGTGGCAGGTCTAGGTAGAGTTCAGTCACCTTCGCAAGACACCACCCTATCCTCCTGCAAAGTGTCTGACAAATGTCAAACCAACTGCCTCACACTATGTTTGAGTCACTAAATAAGCAGTTTCATCTATGAAAGTGCTAAGCTCTCCATGCTCCCTCTGGGCTTGCATATACTCAGCACCTCTGAATCACTGAATCACTTTCTTATAGCTTGTCTTCTCCAGAGCCAAAGGAAAATAGGCACACAGCACCTAGACCTTCCCTTGCAAAATGCCAGAAATATCATTTTCCTATTCCATATGAAAGAGGTAAATACAAAAAAAAAAATCTGGAAGAAATAGTATCTAAATGCTGGGCTTTTCAAATTAATTATTGGGGGGTTATTTTTCATATTTAAAAATACTTCTAATGAAAACCCTGACATGGTTAAAAAAATGAATGTTGTAAAGAGCTCATTAACAAATATAATATTTCTATTCAAGTAAAACAAAATATATTAGATACTTTTTTATGTGTGTTTCAGCCATTTGTCTGGATTTCTTCAGGCTTGCCAGACAGCTAAAGGTCACTTATTTTTCCCACAGTTAGCAGAAACATAGTGGAAGACAATTTGTGCCCAAGAACATCTAAATTGAATAATCAAGGCATATCCATGAAAAAAAAAAAATAGTATCTCCTTACTAGATAGAAATGAGGAGACAGAGCTTAGCAAGGGTATGGTCAGATCCACCTCACCCTGCTTCAGCCATCCAGCCATTAGGCATCTTGTCTGTGTGGTGCAGGTGCCTCTATGGTCAGTGAAGGACAGTTATCTCCATATGAACCCTCTGAAGGTCCCAGTCTCTCACTGGCACCAGAGTTGTTCTGGTAAGCTACCTAGCTCTTTGCTGGATAACAAGCCTAATTTTTAACATCTAGGCCTTGATGAAGTACATCTCACTTAAGGAGACTCCTCTAAGTGATTTGTGCAACAAGGAAGAGCTCAGCTACACCTGCTGCCTGCACCTGTACATCCCTGGGGAGGGGAGCTCCTCACTTCTGGATTTGCAGGACATGCGCTCACCTCTGCTGGCATTTGACTAAGAAAGAAACACCATGGCTTCTTCTCCTTCCAGATCAAGGGCTTGAAGATGGTCCAAGTCTTTTAGGTGCAGCAGGAAACAGGTTGCTGGCTGTATAGAAGACAGCCAGAACCAGGTCCCATGTACGCAGTGAGCTTTCTTTTCCATGTTTACCTCCTCAGCTCTTACTTCAAGGCACAGACAAGAGGAAACTCATCTGGGGTTGATCCCTGTGAAACCAGGTAGGAGGATCTCTGAGGGGCAGGGCACCACCTCCACGGGAAGCCCTGTGCCAGCTTTGCCCTGGCAGCTCTGTGAGGCCAGCACGTGGGAAGAGTAGGGAGGGGCGGTGGGAACACTTGGCTGAGCAAGAGCAGCTGTATTAATTCTGTCTTGCCCAGTGCCACAGGGAATTTGTTTCCAGCTAAGTGAAAAGGTCAGTCAGGAAGGAAGCTAATATTTTCAGGCATATTAAACCACTTGGTATTGGTTAAAGAATCGTCACAAATGACTAGGCAGATTGAAAATGTTAAATTCCAATTAAAACAGGAGAGGCAAGCCCACAAAGAGAAAATACACTGGAACTGCAGAGAAAGAAAAACAAAGAAATTGCCTTTAAGAAAAACAAAGAAATTACTAATATATACATACAGGTATGCACGTATTTTAAACATGTTAGCATATAACTATGGGAAGAAAAAATATCAGGCTTTCCACATTCTCTTCCCGATATGCCACAAATGTACCTTATTTCTCTAATTACGGTGTCAGAGGAGCTGTGTTCTTCCTTTCTGTGATGACACCTTAAAGATGTTGAGGTGAGATGTGTGTGTAAGAGCACCCATGTGGGGCTCACCCTCCATGTGGAAGAAAAAAAGAAAAGCTGTCTGAGAGTAAATCAGATTATATTAAAGCCAAGTCAGATGAAGCACTCAAACCCTCCTGGATTTTGGTGACACCAGCCCTGGCCAATATTCTAGAAACTCCCAAAGGAGGAGAGAAAGGGGGACACCCCCACCACCACCCCCCATGCCCAAACCAGTGAAAAAAGCCCAGAAATTGTGCAGAAAATGTAATTTCCAGTAATTCCATTTCCAAATGTTTGAAAAACTAAGTGAAGCACCAAAAGTATGAGATAACTGAAAAAAAGAGCGAAATTTCTGTCAATCAATACACCAGTGATTTCTTTCTGTCTGCTCATAATTCCTGGCCTTTTGTAATCCACTTAGGACACATCTTTGAATTTTTAAGCCCATCCACGAGGGAGAAACATATTTGACTGTAGTTTTATTTTGGCTAAAGTTACAAATGTCAATTATGATATGAGCATCAATGAAAAGATAAGGGGTAGCAGTTTCTAGGGGTAGCAGCAATGAGGATGAGATTAATCCAGGCTGGATGGTTTCAGGTCCCGGAGACATTTTGATTTAGCAAACTATGCAACCAGATGTCCATAGTTCCCTCTCACACCCCTGGGTGACACACCTGGTGCCTCCAGTCTCAGAAGCCTGGAGCTGTATTAATTTCATTGCTTTCCCTGGGCACAGGAATGCTGTGGTTACAGAGTTGTGCTGAGCTTCTCCTCAGCACAAAGGCATGTGTGCGTTACAACATGCTCAGCCTCTCATCAAGCTATGTTCTCCATGACCGGTTCAGCAATGCTCGTGAACTGATACACCTTTTGGAGGCAACAGCCTGTTCAATGTCTGTCTGGTGCCTGCTCAAAGCAGCTTGTTGTTCACGGGAAAATACTGTTTCAGATTCGATTCCTTTGAGATGGAAATATGAAGTTTTTCTACACCTAAAAATGTTCCCAGAAAAGCCGTGCCAACATCAACATGTGTATCTCAGCATCATGGGAGGAGGCAGCCTGTGTGAGCTTAGAAACGTCTTTGAAATTGAATGAGTTCCCTGATTGTTTTAGACACTGCCAGCAAAAGGCCATGCAGACTTCTACACTGTTTACAGGGATGGAAGAGGGAAGTAAAGAATATTTTTAATGCTTCTAATTGGCAAAACTTTTTGAAGTGTAGAGCATTCCACGTTTTTTATCTAAATTGTCAAAGAATAACTTCAAACCACTTTTAATCATCTGATTTTGCTGTCTCACTAGTAGACTCAGACCACTGTATCCTCACATAAGATGTTTTAGCTCCTGCTGGCAAATACCACAGCCAGGTGTGAGCATCCAAGCACATCTCCATTTGGGATGTTATCTGTTTTAATTACATTTATTTAGAGTCACTTAGGCAAGTCCAGTGGAACTTCTTTCATCCAGAGCAAAGGCCAAGTGCCAGAGTGCTAATTGCTTAGCTCCTATTCTGCACTCAGCCTCAAACGTTATTAAGCCTGTGCACACTTGAGCCTATGCAAGGTCACAATATAGAATAAAAATATCTAAAATTACTGTGGCCATATAGAATTTCCCCCCAGTCCTTCTCAGGCTTCCTAGAAGTTGATCCTAAAGACACAAGATTTTGAGGTGAGGAGAGCTGCTTTCTGATATTTGCAATGAGATATGCTTTCGGGAAGTTTTTCTTTCCAATAAGTTTTTGATTGCAGCAGAAAACCCATTCTTAAAAATATATACTCTTGGAAAGTCCATCAGCAGCAAGCATGTCAGGACAGGAGAGCTCTAGGTAATCCTCACACCTTGGCGGTGTGTAGTCTGTAAAGAAGAGGTTGACAGCAACAGCAGTGCCAACAGGCCATGCACTTCAGCACACATGTTCTCAGATAGCGCTTTTGAATGCTGAGAAAGGGGGATGGACCATCTTCCTCACAGATCCTCTGGGTTACGTGGACTGTTCGCAGCACCATGAGGGGCAGGGTCCAGGGGGCACTGAAGAGCGCTGAATGTATGGAAGTGAGGATGGGGTAATTAGTGAGATCATCAAGCACAAGATGTTTACAGCACTCCAGGGTCTGGCTGAAGACATTAAGGCACCACTGTGTAACTGTAATCTTGTGAGCAAGCTTCTGGAATGTTGTCAGCAGCAATCACGTATCATAAGGCATTGACATTTCTTCTGAAAGCATGAGACAGACAGCCAACTGCCTTCATTTCTCAGCCAATGTGGTGCATAAAACCTATAGATTTATGGCTATGTCAGAGGAAACAGGAACTTGCCACACCATATTTAACTGCTAGGCCTGCTGAATGCCTACAGACACTCTAAGCACTGGAAGTGGGACCTCACATGCCTCATGATTGCCCAGACTGTCCTGCAGCACAGATTTGCTCTTTTTGTCGCTCAAACATCTTCAGAAACTCCATGCATGTGAAATATTCCTCTTCCACTGCCTGATACTTTCCCATCTTACATCACCCTCTACTGAATTAAATACTGGAGCTGAGAAAATCAATGGAGCTCATTATTATTATTATTATTATTATTATTATTATTATTGTTATTATTATTATCATGTTTATCATGTTTATCATATTCATCTTTTAAGTGGAAGAGTTTCCAAAGGAATTTTATGACAGGTCCCAGGAGCTGGCCAGGACATATAGAGATTATGTCTTTACCCATCAACACTCAGCTGAAGATTGGTAGGGAAAGTTTGTATGGGGTCATGCATGTACGTTCCCAGCTCTGTAGACTCTATGCCAGGCTGTTCCTATAAGGATACTTTGCCAGAAGCCTTGTTTCTACTGTAAGGTGCAGAAATTTACTTTACCTTTGCCTGAGTACCCTTTCCTGCACACCAGTGGGTGTTCTGCTGTCTTCTCCAAGGAGAGGACAGCTACCTGCCAGGGGTCTGGCATGGGTTTCACTCTGGGGTCTTCTGAAGTCACTGATGAACCAGAAAGGAGATTTTTTTGACAAATCAAGAAAACATGTCAGACAAAGAAATTAAGAAGTGTTATACAGATGATCACTGTTGAGCATTAAACATGGCTCCGTTCTCTGACCATGGAGGCCAGTGTTGTGCTCTTTCACTTATGGCAGTGTACTTGTGGTAAGGGACTGATACTCCACGCTTTACCCCTCTCCAGCCACAGGCACATCATGACAGTTCACAAGCTGCACTGGGTTTGAAGCCCAAAAACTTCTAATCCTCCTTCCAGGTAGGTAATCCCAGTACCCCAATTTAGAGCATATGAACATCAAATGGGTTTACCAGAAAGTTTTTGTGTTTCTGTTGCGTTTTTTTAAAAAAAAAAAAAAGTCTGAAATAATTGTGGAGTTACTTCTTTGAATTACAAGTTGGTTGAATCAGGCCATTCCAGCTGATTAGGATTAAATTGATAAAAGGATTAAAGGATAAATCTGTAGTATCTAACATCCTCTCTGAGTCTGAAACATTTGAAAACCAAAAGGGGGGGTGGGGTGTGTGTGTGGGGGTGTGTGTGTGGGGGTGTGTGTGTGTGTGCTGAGTTTCCAAGCAACAAAGAGTTCATTTTAGACAGAGAAGAAGGAAACTGAGCAAGAAACATTCCACAGGATAAATTCTATTACATCAACCAAGGTGTCTGAAAAAACGGAAAATAAAACCTTAGGCAATGATTCAGTGTCTCAGAGAGAGCATCCCATGCCCACCAAACCTGCTTTGTGATCGCATTTACAAATATTCAAAAATAATAATTAAAAATGCAGTGAGGTCACTCATGGATTCCAGATCATATTCACATCTGTGGCCAGAAATGAGGTATGAGTTTTCTCAAATGTGAAACTTGCCTTCCTCATCTCACCTTCCCTGTGCTTGCTTTACAAGTGTATTGTGAAGGTGACATTTGATAATTTCTCCATAACTCAGTGTTCGTGTAAATCATGCAATACCATGGTCTGGATTCGACAGCGTATGGAATCTGTTGTGTCATGATGCAAGGTGTGATGCATTGCACAGGGACTGTCTGCATGCAATTATCACTCTCTCTGTCTGTCATAAGCCCATGGCAACACAACCCATACAGGACTGGCATCTCTCTGACATGGATATCCACTCCCAGGACCTGGGAGATGCTGGTAGATGGTCCCCCAGGTCTCACCAGGAGGCTGCTCCAAGGCTGTGTGCTGCACATAGACCCTTTTCACCCTGTGGAAAAATGCTATGACATTTCTAACTGTTCCCTTTCCTTTCCCACAGCTGACAAAGAGGCTGATGAATACTACATGAGGAGGAGACACCTGCCTGACCTGGCAGCCCGAGGCACACTCCCTATCAATGTCATCAAAATGTCTCAACAGACCAACCACAGGGACAGGCCACGCCGTCCCATCAGGGCCATGTCCCAGGACAGAGTGCTGTCTCCTGAGAGGATCATGCCTGAGGAGTTTAGCATGTCCTATGAACGGATCCTCTCAGATGAGCAGCTTCTGTCTGCAGAACGCCTCCACTCCCAAGACCCCCTGCTCTCACCCGAGCGGTCGGGGTACCCCGAGCAGTCTATGTCACGGGCATTGTCACACACAGATGTCTTTGTATCAACACCTGTCTTGGATCGCTACAGGATGACAAAAATGCACTCCCATCCTAGTGCCTCAAATAACTTGTACAATACTTTAGGTATGAACCCAACCTCCGCCAAGCGCCAAGCATTCGCCTCCCGACGGCACAACACAGTAGAACAACTGCATTATATTCCAGGACACCACCATCACTACCGCACAGCGAGCAAAACAGAGGTGACTGTTTGATATGACCTTGTGCATTGTAGATACTCATTAAGGACTGGGGTGGCCACAGCACCCCATACTGCAGTGGCCTTATAGGCCAAGATAACCTCTAATAACTCAGTGTCTGAAAAGACTTTTCTGACAGTCCCATCCACGTTGTTTTTAAAATCACTCCTTCATCAGTGACATAAGAAGAACCCAAGCAAGAAAACAGACAATTGTGAGGGATAATAGAGGAAATTTCCTGATGTGCATCAGTTTCTGTCAAAGAAAGCCATAGTAGTAGATGGCTCCTTCCAAGGGCTCATCTGCATTATCTCAACATTTCTATGAATTTAGGACTTTTCAGTTGCTACAAGTAGAAGCAATCTCATGCAGCCCAAGACAGGGAGGAGGAAATACAGCATCCCATCCTGGCGGAAAGGGGCCCTGTTCTCAGTCCTAATGTTAGTCCTCATGTTTGGCCTTTCTGTAGCAAGTAGGTAAGCTTCTGTCTTCTGAGGATCATCTCCAGACAGCTCAGTATCAGCCACCATCTGTTCTTCCTCACCCTTGGAGCAAATTCAAGGGCACACTTTCCTAGGGGACTGGCAGATCTAGGGAGAAGTAATAGCCTGGCTGAGAAATAAAGTTTTAGTTTATATTAAATATACTCATAAGATAAAAATATAATAGTGCCTACAAATCGCCTGCTCTCTCAGTGTAGGAAGTAGTGGGGTTGATGTGTTCAATAAGCACAAATATGCTGAAATGCTTGTTAGATCCTTTTCTCCACTCATTCTAGTATCTTGGCATCTCCAACATGTAAATAGAAAGGAGGAATAGGGTTTCTCTTCCTCCAGCTTCTTGCCACTGCTGAACCTAAAGCACCAGAAATCATTCAGCTTCAAACTGCTGACCTGTGCTGGGGGAAGTCCTGACTCCACTGAGACCCCCGCAAGGCAAGGCTACCACACATTTCACTGAGCCTGGATATCTCCCCAGAAATTTATTTTCCTGATAGCATTTTCCACTGGTCCACTTCCCCTGTGTCCAAACATATTTTCTCCTCTCAGTTACAACCTAGAACTCTATATGTAGCAAACCTTTTTCTAGCCCTTAGCATAAGCACAAAGCTGAGGGTGTCTGCCTATCAAAAAGCAGGTAGGTAATTTTCCATGGTTTACTCTCCATGTAATGCCCCCGCGCCCCCCCCCCAAAAACAAACAAACAAACAAACAAAAAACTTCCAAATTCCAATTCCACTGAGTACTAATCCTAACCATGAAGACAGTTACATTTCATGCATATAAATTATATATCCAGCATAATTATAATAAATGGGCATGTTGTATATCTGATATAATGCTAATTAGATACTGTATATTTGTAAAATCTTTAAAATGTAGACTCATGGGTCCAGAATTTGTGAGGGTTTTATCTTTGGCTTCCTAGCCAGATTGGGTTTTTGTTGGTTTTTGTTGCTTTGGTTTTTGTTGGTTTTGGTTTGATTTATCTTTTTTTTCCTTTATTTTTGTTCCAATCAAATTCTGTGGAACTAACTCACACTAGAACATACTTCTGTGGCAGGACAGGGTCTCAGAGGTTTTGAAGGCCGGCCAGACCCGGTACTGAAACTGTTAGTGCTGGACACTCTCCAGTACTCACCGTCCATGGTGTGCACTCAAAGTCCCACCACACGTACACACCCATGCTGCCGATCTGAACGGCAGGCGTGCTCCCTCCTCCAGGTGAAATGATGACTGACTTCAGGCTGTAAACGCATTCCCATACAGTGCTACTCTTTTCATGCCCTACATTCCTACACTGAGTCTTTTCCTACATGGCTCTTCACTAAACTTCATTTAAATTATCTCTGCCCTTCTCCCTCTCCTCTAATACCTCCCACCTCCTGGCCTTAATGACGTTCCCAGCTCAACACGTTGGTCCTGTAACACACAATGATTGTAGATTGTTGTGAGCTTGAGTCTTGCAGAGGCTTATGATGCAGCACCAGGTTTTTCTGGTGCAGGGTAGGCAGGAAGAGCATGTCGTCTTTCCCTGGTGGGATATCAAGATAGACCTCAAGGGGGTGGCCATGTGGCCTGTCCTGGGGCTGCTCATCCTAATTCATGAGCTTTCTTCTGCCCCACCTGATGGAGACTGTGTTCAGAAAGGACTCCATCTGTGAGAAGTACTGGGGCTTTGTTTGACGGAAACTGAGCTGGGAAGGAATAAATAACAGTCTCCATGGTTCAGATGGTCATTACTACACAGCCTTGGGCAAAAACATTCTGGGCAACAACCAGAATTGTCTATGGATCAGGGTGGCAGTTCATGGCATGGGAGGGATGAGAGAGAAAAGGCTCAGACCTCATCTCCTGACCCCTTCACTTGATGGACACTTCTCTCCCCTGACTACCTCCAAGCTCCTCAGCTCAGTCACTGGATATTTCTTCACAGAAGGCAAACCCCGTGAAAATATTGTCCTTGCTGACCTTCCAACAGACTGAAGTTTGTGACTTTTGTGAAGAGAAGAGAAACACACATGGCTGATGAGGAGGCAGGGTCCTGGGGCTTTTCTGTTCTCTCTTGGCCTAAGCAAAGCCAGGATATTCCCCTCTGCAAGCAGGGAGATGTGAACACTTTGGGAGAGGAGAGTCCACCCTAGAGTCTCCAGAAGTTGTGGCAGAGCCAGAGGAGCAGACGTGACCATGTGAGGCCATGGGTAGGTGAACACTCCTCGCTTTCCATTTCCATAGCTATTTGTCTCAAGCTCTAGTCTTCGTCTAAATGTTCCATCTGTGAACTAAGAAGCTGCTGGATCAGATGCAAATATGGAAATTTTTCACCCAAGTAGCCTGTGCAGATGTTGTGCTGTGCTCCAGGCCATTTGACCTCAGAGCCTTCTCTTATTCTGACTGAAAAATATTACAGGCCCTCTGCTAACTTGTCCTGGGCAATAACCCTCCAAAGAAATCTTAGCCCCATTTCCTCGTCTTTTCCACACACTCAACTGTTTCAAGCAGATGCATCCCACAAGAACCATCAAAAAGCCTTTCCAGGCCAAATCCCTTCAGACACTCTGCCGCCGCTGCCGAAAATTTTCAGCAAATTTCTTTGGGAAGGCACCATGCCCTGGATGACCACAATTTGTTCCTGGGCACTATGTGTGCCCATGTCTTGCTTTGTGTGCTGGAATGGGTTGGTAGCTAAAGCAGTGACATTTCAGCACACATAGGTGTTCTTATGTCATTTTTTTCCTTATTCCTCATTCTGAGAGTTTGTCACTGAAAGGACACTTGGTCCAGGACTGGGTGTCATGATCCACAGCCTGGTCCCCAGCACTTCGGTTCCCCGTGGCCAATATGTGATGTTAATGGTAAAATTTTCCTATTCCACGGAGGCATTATGAGAGTTCATACCATAATGTCTGTGAAGTGCTTTGAGACCCTCTCACAACAGACACTGTAGAACAGCAAAGCATTTTTACTGATATTGTTTGTCACCATTGTCCTGCCACATCACGTCTGATGTGTTGCAATCCAGTATCTGTCCAGAATGAGAGTGCTGCGGTGGGGGGATGCAGTTCCCAGGCTTCCCATGGCTCTCCTTCTGGTCCGGGTCCCTAGCAGGCAGCAGCTGTAAGGGATGCTGTTACCTGCACTTTGACGTTTCTGCTGTCTTCTCATGTCTGAGTCACCGTACCATTCTGTACTCAGGAGAAAAGCAGGAAGCAGTCACTTTCCTCTGTACAGTAAAATATAATCTGCCTTGATTAATCTAATATACTCTGAAGAATTGATCTGTCTTTTTCTCCAACCCACAGGTGGAAACACACATCTGTGGAGTGTCCAGTTCCCAGAGTGCATGTGCAGGGACTGAGGGAGGGTGATGTAGAAAAGTTTATATTATTTCCTACAAACTGATCATTATTTGCATTCCCCAAGCAGCAATGCATAATAGTGAGCTGCACTGGATTTTATACAACTCTCTCTAATACAGAAACATGTATGTATATGTATGTACACACAGACAGATATATATACATACATACTGTAAAATGCAATCATTAAGTTCTGACTGACCCTGTACCAGTCTAATCTTCCAAACTATATTGAATCACTCTTTGAAATGTGGCAAACTATTTTTAATGAACCACGCAGATCACCACATGGAATGGAAATTTTGTCATAAAAGTCTTCTAATGCCAGTGAATTGTGTTTTAAGGAAAAATGAAATATTTTTCAATGTTTTAATGTTCCTTTTATAAATGATGATCTGTTACTTGGGAATGGGGGTGGGTGGGAAGAAACAGGGACAGTTACCTGGGAGTAAGCCCTCCTTTCCTGGCCTAGATTTAATTTCTCTCTACTGTTTTACTAGCCTGGCTGGCTGCAAAGCTGGTCCCATGAACCTGGGCTTCCTGCATGCATATTTCTGTTCTTGTGTTTATCTGTCAGAAGCATTCCCACCAGGAATCTGCAAGAGCCTGGCATCAAGTTTTTGCAAGAGATCAGTAGTTTCTGGTACCTGGGAAGACGTCTTCATCTTATTCCACCACAACAAACAAAATCATCATGAAACAGGGTAACTTTAATTCTATTTGAAGTAAGTGTTCTAATTTGTGATCCATTTGCCATCATGTGATGGAGAAATAGTTTGTCTTAGTTTTGTTTCAGATTTAGTGCTTAAACTGGAAGGAGGGACTCTGCTGAAATATATTTAACACACAGATTTCATGTTCAAGTATATTTCAGAGGAGTGAAAAGTTAGTAGGGGAAATATGTGAGAAAGGGGCTTAAATATTTTCATAAAAAGTGTTGTTAGCAATAAGCTTGTGTTGGGGCTGCTTCTTAGAGAACAGCCACTTCTGTGTTGTCTGTCCGTAAGTGAGTGGTAGAAGGTATCATTCCCAACCTCTCTTAGCTGCTTCATGGCTGTCAAGGAGGTTCCCTCACCGAGCCCAAAACCCATCTGGGAAAACCAACCTACACTTCACCCGCTGGCAGCCCGGGGGCAAGGGGAGAGTTGGCTGATCCTGTTCGAGCATGTTCGTGTAAATTGAAAGAGATCTCTGCTCTCAGCAACAAGCAAAGCGGCATCCCGTGTCTCTGCCATGAGCGCATGATGCCCAGGAGTTCTCCACCCCCACCACCTCTGCTGCAGGGAGACGTGCATCGCGGCCCCCTGACCCTCTGCCCATGTGCTTCGTAACGGCTCCTGACCTTCTGTCTGCAAATCCGTTAGACATTTTTGTAGCAAGAATTTCTTGGCTCTGAGAAAGACACTTCTTACTATAATATTTTTAGTTTGGGGACAATATTTCCTAAGAGGGGTTAAGTGGATATTTTTGTGCTTTAGCCCAGTTTATGGATTCCATGTTTATTATACAGTAGTACTGAAGAGGAAGTACATTTGTATCTGTAACTTTGCACAGACTCTTGGTTAACCATTAAACAGGCTTCAAGATGAGCAGTATTTGACTGTTTTTTCTCTGTATTATTCTTGTTGTTATACTTACCTGTAAAAGCACATTCTGTATGTACTGTAAACAAAAATATTATCAGTTTAGTAAAATTTAGAGTCTTAAGGATTTTTCCACTTTTGTCAGTAACAAATATTTATGGATTAAAAAATAAAGGCAATTTCAACATATAAATTGTTTCTTTTTGATATCTATTGGGAGAAAAAAAAAAAAAGGCCTTTTTCTTGGCAGCCTTCCCAATCTTTGTAACCGGCGTTTGAAAGGTAGATATCTATATTTCTGTGTGTAGTTAAATAGCATCTATTAAAATGAATGCTACAAGGTCTGGAAGAGTCATTATTTTTACGTATTTATTTACTGCATTTCATCATCATGCCAGAAAATAGCGTGAGGAGAAGAGAGACATTACGATTTGCTGTAAAATTTTGTCATGCAAGACTATAAAGTTTTATTTTAAAGTAGCCCTTCTTTAATTTTGCATTCATAAGCCATGATTCATTCTCCATCTAGAAAGCCTTGTATTGCAAAGTCAGAACTTGTGAAACGTCCCGTAACACTGTAGGCTTCAATGGAGGCTTTGCTTTTGCTATTGGCAATACTGCACACACAGGAGCTCCCCTGTCATTATTCTGAGATGTGAGAAGTGCCAAGGAGGCCAGAGCATGTTCCTCACTGAAGACCCCCCCCACTACTAGCACAGAGGATGAAAGGGTATTTTCATTGCCTCCAGCTCCAAGTCTGGAGTTTCTTACTACTATGTCTAGCTGGGAAATGTAGCCGGGTTTTTCTCTTGCTTTTTTTTGTGGAGGAAACATCAAATTTTATAGCTCCATTTTCATATTAATTTGCCTTCAGCATTATGCAGATTTGCTTACATTAAAAATGTGATAGCTAGTAACTGGGAAGGATTGCTGGAAATAAAAATTGTTGAGGTATCGGCACCCTTTTGCAGCACAGCTATGGGAGCGGACAAAAGGAGGGCAGGCACTGGGTAGCGACTCCCTCCCAGCGTGGAGCATGTGGCAGCCCGTCCCTACACTGCAGCACTTTGGAGAAGCTCTCTTCATATCAGTTGTTCCATGACCCTGCCACTGTCCCTCCTCTGCCACCTTGCAGCTCTGGCACTGATCTCCAGAGTGCTGCTGGGATAACATCACAGGGTTCACACCCCACTGCTGCCTTCATTAACACATCACCGTCACCCACTCAGGCATAGCTTTCTGTTGCTTTCCTGCTCATCTTAAATAGATTAAACAAGATTTGAGGAGTAACACCCCACTACTACCAAGAGAAGACAATCATCTTCCAGGGTAGGTCCAGTGGGAAGACCAGGCCCTTTTTTGACCCTTTGGCCAGATTAGTGCTTGGGGGCTCCTATCTCCGTAAGAGCAGAGCTCAGAGTCAGCAAGGCATAATCAGCTCTTCCTAAGAAACATGTGAACCCAGCAGAGTTAATTAAAATGCATTTTTAAGGGAGAAGTTTAATTTTGCCTGGCAGTTCTATTCATAATTACCCAGTCCTTTGTAGCACTAATAAGTGGGGAGGGAGCAATGGGGAATTAGCTAATTTTTCGGCTTCCCATAAAAGGTATTGAAGAGAACAGCAGGATTTGTAGTGTTGAGAGCCAGTGATGACTGAGATGAAGCTGGAGCCAATTCTTACCTCAAAGGACAATAGAGAACACTGTTTCCAATTCCTGTAATAACTGATTTCAGTACTTTGGTGAGGACCTTATGCTTTGTTAGCCAGCCTTCATTCAAGCTCTCTTCACTAGTCCCACTCAGGGATATCTGGTGGTGGCTGAGAGCGGTGTCTCCAGTGGCCTGGGCAGCCTAGCACCACCCCAATGAGGTCCCTGCAATGCAGCATATGACTTCACATGTGTGTCTGAAGGGATGTTTTGGTGGATGACATGGAAGAGAGTGTGCAGCTGGTCCACCCCAGCTCAGGCTATCAGAGCCGGTGCCCTGCTCTTGGGCTGCATGGCAGAAGGCAGTGGTCCCTGCTCTCTGCTGGCACACACCTGGCTGTAGGGTGGCTGTCTGGGGGAAGGTGTGGTGATGAGGGTCCCACTTCACCTCTCTGGGGAACGGTTCACAGTGCAGAGCTGTCCCAGCAGACCTGCCCGGTGGGACAGGGGAAGGCTGAACAGATCCCCACGACCCTCATTGAGGACCCACAGGCAACAGAGCACAGAAAGGGCAAGACCAGCTGTGGGTAGGGGCTCTGTCAAATGAAAGACCTTCATCTGGAAGGACTTGGGGGTGGGCATGGTAGTATCGGTGTGGGGTCACCTGAGGTCACAGGTCACTCCTACAGCAGGGTGCTGGTAGCACCTCCAGTGTTGGCACAGAGCAGAAGGGATGGAAAACATTCAATAGAAAAGCAGCAATACCCCCATCTGGGAAAGCTAAGATCCTCACATGTGAAGTTTTTATGAAGCTCAACATTTTAGTTTATATTGTGAGGCTGACAGGTGACTTGGTCACTAGGTATAAGCATTTTTAGGGAGTGAAAAGTGTAGGGTATTAAAAAGCTCTTTAATCCAGCATCAGAAGAACCAGCTCATGAAAACTGAAGCCAGATAAACTATCATTAGAACAAACTATCAAGGAGAGACTAGTTGGGCGATGTTTCTTGCTTTAACAAATGCTACGTGGCTGCTAATGCTAAGTCTTATTGACACAGTAATTCTTTGACCAGGAGACCACCTTTCTCACAGCTATTTTCATAGACAAAACCTACAACTTGGTGAGATCTTTGGTGAGTTGAAGCTCACTTCAAACCTGGAAGTGTTTGCACATGAAGAAGGGATCTGTTTCCACCAGGCATTTCCTCCCAGACAGTAACACACTTCAAGGTATTTAATAATTAATGGAGCTTTGCAAGAGCCTTCAGCAGCATTACCATACCCTGCAGAGCAGAGGACATTAGAAGGAGAGACCTTCAGAAGTGACTCACCCCTGTCACAGAGTGAATCAGGAGCAGACTGGGAATATGACATAGTCTCCCATCTCCTTCCTTGTCAAAATGCCAGGTAACAACTCTTCTGCCTATAGGTTTGGGAAGCACTTTTTGTTTATTTTGATTTGAACTTTGGGTTACCAACAAAGCTCAGCATCTGCCAAAAGAGCAGTGTGTTTCAGCTCTGCAATAACCACGCAGGGTTGCTGTGGGAGATGGAGATCTAGTTGAGGGCAGAGGACAAATCTCGTGGTGATGTGCATCACTTGTCCATTTCACTATCCAAACATGACTGGGAAGGGTGTTTTGCTCCTCTTGCTGTCTCTTCTTGCTTGACACAGGACTACCTCAGGTCAGAAATCAAATCAGCACTGATTTAATGGTCTTTCAGAAGATTTAGTGCCAAACTTCTGTCTCTGAGCTCCTTAGGAGCTGGATCTACTCAGGGATTTTGTAGAGTTACATGTCGGATTGAGGTGCCTGCAGTGACCAAAATTTTGTTTGGCTGCAACAAATTTCAGGAGATACCTCAGTCCTTTCAGGCCAGAATTTATCTGTCCCTGCTTCAGTAGCTGAAAGTTAGATGTCTCAGTGCAAGCTGCAATAGGTGTCCCACCAGTTGTCCTCTGAGGAGGCCCAGAGAATTTTTTTAAGTGGGCATCTAATTTTGGCATATTTAAAAGGTGAATGTTCATGCAGGACATTCTGAGCAGCCAGGACCACACATCTCCCACCAGCCCTGACTTCTATAAGAACACACGCTCATTTACACAAGCTTCCACCAACAAAGTGTCCCAGACACCATACTTTCTCTCTAGCTGGCTGTGATTACCC